TAAAATATCACATCTACAACTCCGCTTGGTTATGATCAAAATAAGAAAATAAATAAAGACATTTAAAAAGGCATTGCTTGCTCAGGATTTGTAGAGCAGAGATTTCATTCATCGTGAAACTGGAAAACAACTTTTGACAAAGCTTAGTGACGGCCGGGTCACTTTGGATGCTCAGCACGTTGCTTTAGTCCAAGTATTTACAGTGTGTTAAGTCACAATAGTGACGTTTTAACAGTCCTTTTTATTTGTAGAAAAATCTGAATTGAAACAAAAATGGAAAAATATCAACTATCTTTCAAGTTTCTCTCACAGACATCGACAAGAGAAAGGGAATACATCTGAAGAGTGGTGTGTTCAACACTGCGTCATCTGCTACCTTTACACTCATTACAACCAGCCTCTGACACTGGTAGACATCTTTACACATATGCATCAAGTGCATCTTCAAACTATATTCTGTGTTCTGATATGTTAGTATGAGTATATATTAAATGCAGATTTTCATATGAAAGCAGCAGTGCACACACACATACAGACAGGCTGGCAAACAGGCCAGTTTGGTTCAGTTCAGTTGGCCTCCATATGAAGCGGCGTCAAGGCGAAGCAAGGAACTCAGATGCGAGAAGGTGGGCGTGTTTTAGCCCTCACTGGGTGGAGTCGGAGTCACTGGAGTCCAGGCTGGCCTGTGTGGGTGTAGGGGTGCAGCTGTGATGTGCAGCCGGTGGGCAGTGGAGGGTCTGCGTGCTCCTTCGCAGGTTCTCCAGGGACTGAAGGAAGGAGCGCCGTGCCCTCTCTTCCTCCAAGGGCGAGGAACCCTCTTCTTCTACCTCTGCAATCTCAGCAAAGGTGACAGGCTGTGTTTTGAAGCGAGCCTCCCGAGGTCGCCGGGAGCGGCTCTTGCCCCTCGCCGGAGCCTTAGGGACAGGCAGCTGCTGGGGGAACTCCTCCATTGCCGAGGCCATGAGGTGGGCTGGCAGGACGTGGAAGCCAGAGGCCTCCATAATCATCTGACGCACAGCAGCCATTGGTCGAGATGAAATCTTCTTTGAATGAAATGAATTAGGAGTGAAAGCAGCTGAAAGAAGACAGTCAGCTGCTCAGAGACAAACTCTCAATGTTGTCTTTCTTGTTGTTTCCTTTTTCTTGTCCTGTTTAAAGAGAAGTGTTTCTCAGAAGCAACAAAGTAAGAGTCCGTAAAAGCCAAACAGATTCCTCAAACCTCCAATTTCCGGGCAGCAATTTAAAGTCACCTCTGCTCTTAAGTTCTGATCAATCTCTACCCCAAGAGCTTCTCTTCCAACTCTGCTGATGTCTCTTTCCGCTCTGGATGTTTCCTGTTTTGAGTGTGTGAATCTCTGTCTGCTGAAGTTAATGCCAGCAGCAGCTCCAACACTCTCTTTTATAGCAGCTCACTCACCCACTCAGTCTCTCTCTCCCTCCCTGCTCCCTGTGCTCGCCAGGTCCCTCCTACTCCCCTCCTTCCCTCTCAGTCATGGTTCCGGCCTCCAGAGCAGTCACCCCCCTCAAAATAAACATATGAGAAAGGAATATGTGCTGGGTGAGGGGGCTTTGACAGATTTGTAGAAGGGGGGTGGCATGTAGAGACAGTAAAACGTGTAAGACATTTAGTGTGTCCAGTCAGGGAGGATGACTGGAAGAGAGAGGAGGGGAAAATCAGGAAGAAAATTGGTGCTGGGAGGAAAGTTTCCCAAATCAAAGTCAAGGTTGAAACGCTATAGGCTACATTTCCCAAAATGCTGGACAGTCCTTGATATGGTTGTGCAATGCTCTGATTGATGTGGCAGGAAATGACAAGCTTTGTAAAGCTTATTTACTTCACCAAGAATATTACAGTGGTGTTGATTCTACCCCGTGTGGTTTGATAATAACAGCTGGTCAAACCTGCAGCAAATACAGATTTAATTCAGTTGAGTGAATTAAACTATGCCTTGAAGATATTTCTTCAACTTTGGTACGAATATTCACTTTGACTTAGAATTGAGTGGTCAAGGTCACTTAGACCTCACAAGGCTTGTTTT